TTGGGAATAATTGGACCTTATGATCCGGGAAGATCGAGAGATAGAGCGAGAGAGAGAGAGAGGACCTCGCAAATGTCATAGAAGTACGCGACGCTACTAATTGGGAACGGATCGGGGGGGGTAGAACGCCTCTTCTTCCTTTATTGCATCATCCGGAAGGGGGAGGGGCTAACAACAATCGTAGCGCTTTTCCGGTGATATTGTTGTTTTGAGTCGGTGAGAAAAACCGAAATCTGCCGTAGGCCGCATGGAAAAAAGCGCATGTTGTTTAATCCGCTAAAGCTTCAGAGATTTAACGAAAGTTTGAAATAACGATTTAAATGTCAAAATGCAGCAAATCTTAGAAGATCGTAGCATAACCTTTGAAACCTCGAAAATTGGCAAAAATCAGAATTTGGAACACCCAAAATCGGGTGTCTCTAGGGGAAATTAGCCGATATCCGATGGTAATTTGGTGAAATTAGGCATATTTTATCTTTCTCTCTTCCCCGCACTCTCTCTCTGTCACTCTCTCTGTTTCTCGCTCTCTCTCTGTCACTCTCTCTGTTTCTCGCTCTCTCTCTCTCTCTCTCTCTCTCTCTCTCTCTCTCTAGCAGTCTGGGTCGAAACATAAGAGAACGGAGTTAAAAAAGAGCATAGGTGCTCCGGATCCCCACGACTCGATTACGCCATATAAACCCAAAATGATCGAAAGATAAAACCTAAATTCAATTTGAGCCTCACCCGTTGAGCAGCAGCCCTAGGCGAGGCTGATTTCGGGGGTGCTACTCCTCTATCCGGGTGTGCCCTCCAGGCGGGTGTCCATCGTGTAAACAATTGTCACCCGACAATTTCCTGGGTCACACACACAAAATAGAGAATAGAGAGAAGCAGGCGACAGCTAACAGGGGGAAAAACGATGGAAAAGCTCGATGCTGGCTGCTGCTATCACATATTTTGTTTGGCACCAGTGGCAGGCTGGGCGGGTGGGAATGCGGAAAAGTTGGGGGGTTTGACATGGTAAGAAAGTAGTATAAAATCTAGGCGAGAGTAAGAGTGAGGGAGAGAGAGAGAGAGTGAGAGAGAGAACAAGATAGAGGCCATAAAAAAGCTGCATTAATGTCTACATTCCTTGCGAATCCCTTTAAAAATACCAGAAAGTACTAATTTCATGTCGTAATGCATTAATCTTCAAGCGATCGACCGCACGTAAGAAATTTTTTTTAAAAAGATCTGGATGGTGAATTTTCTGTCGTAATGCACTAAAAAGACAGTACGCTTCTGCAGGGCGCTTGAGAAAATGTCAAATTTTTGGTTTTAGACTAAAATTCCGGGTGATTCCGTATGCGCAATTAGGTGTGGTACGTAGCTTTTTCGGCCTAGACGACTTTTCGGCGCCATACGACCGACTGACTTTGAAAGTGATCCAAAATCCATAGGACCTCGACTTTCCAGTCCTTTTAAACGCAAAAGTGAGGTCCCAATTTGTGCATAGATGGCGTTAGTCGAGACCTAGTCAGTAAGGAGGTTGATTCTAGCGCTTAATCATCCCTTAAAGACAGCATAATTTAGGGGAGTTGCCAGAAATCCATAAGAAATGAGCTTTCCCGTCCCTTTAAAAGTAAAGATCGGGCTATGTTTGAAATGTTTGTAAATTCTGTCGAGACCTAGTAAGGAACAGGGTAGATTCAGGCTTCAAAGTTCCTTTAAAAATAACGAAAAATACATGGCTCAGATTTTTGGAGATAAAGAAAGCGAGGCCCGGTGCAAAAACTTCAAAATTGTCGCCTAGCTACGCTGACTTATGACTCCGGGTTTCCGGGAAGAGAAGGAAGGGCTTTAGCTTCCGGAAATCTAAGGAATGACTTGACAGACGAAGAATCTGAAGACCCTAGATGAAATAGGAATGTTCTCCAATCAGAGATGAGCAAGAAGCGCATAAGAAGCCCCAAGAAAAAGTCGAGTGAACCTTCAGCTTTCCGAGGAGAGTATCAACTTCTCTGAGGTGTCTTTCCCCTCGCATTACACCTTCGCCGGTCTAATTGGCGCGCGAAGCTCATTTTTCGGACCCTGCGCCGCGCGAAAATTGGACGCCACAAGGTATCACGGGTGGTTACGTAACACTCCGATTGGCGAACGAGACACCCGGGGGTTCCGGGATTGCAATGTTGCCGCTGGGGGAATCAAGGATCGCGAATTGGTTGGGTTGGGTTTTTGCCGTGCGGTTATAGGGCGAGTGGCTGCTGAAAAATCGCTAAAAATCGGAAGATTAGGCGTTTAAATACGAAAAAATTAGTTACTTGGCGCTTAAGAATGTTTTAAAAAACCAGAATTTTTCAAGTAGTCGCCTACTAGCATTTTGCACGGTTTCCAATTATTTAAGGCGCATGTCGAACTCAAAAACTTCGCGGGTTTTTTCGTAACGTAATTTTCGTAATGAAAACGATCGAAAAGGTAGCAATTTTCAAATTTAAAAAAGATGATGTTTTTCCATGTTTTATGTTTTTATTTTAACGCAAGCAAATACAAATTACTTCCCACGCTACAAAACAGCCCCACCCCTCGCTAAGAACCCAGTACCAAAACAACTGAAAAATGCATCACGATCGGCACCCCCAAAAAATGTGCAAATTCCAGAAATTCGCTGTTGCATTCTTGCATTCTCGCGCACAATTTTCAGGGCTTAAGAGCAAAAGCTAAAAGCAAAGCAACCAGTCTCAAAGCCAAATGCTGTGCAGCTATTTTCATCTCGCCACTCCTTCGCCAATTTATTGCTGCTGTCGCCTCGGGAGTTGCCGCAGCGTGGGAGTTCCCCGTCGGGCGGCCGGCCAAATTCTGCGTTTTTGAATTCCTTTTCGGGTCCTGCAGCGGGCTTTCCGGATAGCCAAAGAGAGGCGAGAGGGATAAACAATTCTCGTATGCATAATTGGATCGGAAGGTTGTTTTTCGAGTCACACATTGGTGATGAAGGGTATGTGTTAACTTACAGCAATAGGAAAGATAAGAAAAAATACGGTATCTTGCTCGCTCTCTCTCGCTCTCTAACTCTCTCTCCCTCTCTCGCTCTTTCTCTTTTCCTAACTCGCCCAAGATAATTTCTCTCTCTCTCTCTCTCTCTCTCTCTCTCTCTCTCTCTCTTTCTCTCTCACTCTCTCTGTGGCTTTCTCTCTCTTTCCCTCTCTTTCTCTCTCTCTCTTTGCCTCACCATCACATTCCCCAACACCGGATGCTGACAACGACTGCAACAAGTACAGCTGTAGATGCTCCCACAGCTCGCACAATTCCCCACCATCGACTGCTCTAAAGCCAGACACCTCCAAAAATGGTGCTCATCTACCAACCTGCACAGCTCGAAATGCTCGCTCTAGCCGAGGAGTAGGAGGTGTTGGAACAAGTTCGAGATGCATACGAGATCAGACGTCTTCGTTGTTTTGGGGCATCAACTTCCCGCTCAAGATCGGAGGATGAGCGGGGCATCATCATCGAGGAGTCGACAAGATTCTGATGGCAGACCTCGGAGCGGAACATCCGGATGGACGGGAATAGATGGGGTGACACACCCTTCATTACAGATACATGGGTTGATATATGGAACCGGAAACGAGAGAAAAAGAGAGAGAGAGAGAGCGAGAGAGAGAGAGATAGAGAGAGAGAGAGTGAGGGAGAGGGGCGAAAATAAATACGATTTATAAAAATCCTTTAACCACCAGATGCAGACCCGCAAATCGACCGACTAATCCGGAAATCGGACATGAAAATTCCGCAGCAACCCTATTTCCGTAGCCCCTATCATTTTCCAAAAACCTTCAAAGAATAAAAACTGTGTTTTGGTGCTTCTGGGACGTGATTAATTCAAGGCCTTGAAATCTAGGTACTCAAAAATATCGGAATTCAGTGGCGCTACGCTGGATTACTCATTCCGGGTGTGGTCAGGTTTAACATGGCGATAGAGGTATGGGAATACGAGACAATAGATAAAAAAAATATGATAAAAGGGAAAAAGATAAATCGTGGTATTACGGAATTTCCTCATCACAATTTGCCCATGTTTTGTGGGTCCGGAAATTGGTGAAACGGGCGGATTAGGCGCGTCTGGACCGGATCAAGAAGATATTTAACGGGAATTTAAGTAATCTTGGCATTACCGAGTTTGAAATGGAAGGAAATTTGATAATATTCATGTTAAACAATTAAAAATACTTTTAGGTTAGTTTTGATATTTTTTTAAACAATTTCCAACAACATTTTTAAGAATTAAGATTAAATAGGGCCCCAAACCCTAAGATTATGAAGCCTAAATGGTAAAACTGGTATAATGAAGACATCGTTTCGTTGCCGTAAACGAGAAAAATGTAAGATTGGAGACCTCCAGGTGCGAGGTAAGTGCAAAAAATTCGGCTGCATCCTGGTTGAAGCCCCCAGCCTGAGGAGGCCAATTTGCATCCCTGAACCCGTCGAGAGGAGCGGAACGGAACGGCCCCCCGACCCCGCAATTGGTTTGATTGGCAGCGCAACTATGAGGTTGGGGAAGGAGAAGTAGGGCAAAAACACGGAAACTCCTGGCACTTCTCGCATCATTAGTGCGTCGAAAGCAAGGGTGTGTGTTGGATTGTGGCGTAGTTGGAGCCGGGAATACGGAAATTATGATATTTTTTGTAAAATCGCACTAAAATTGATACCTTACACATAATTTCGAATTTAAAATACGAAAGTCAACATTTAAAAAAACTGAATTGCCCAAAAATCGTGCTTTGTTCAAAAAAATGCACTGAACTCCTTGAAGATGCCGTTGAGGGATATATAGGATTGCGGCACATTTCGGTCGGTTATACAAAAGGTTAGGGTAGCTGCAAAAACCAAAAATCAGAAATGACAACTGATTGAGCCGAATCAATCAAAAATCTGGCTAAAAACGGATATTTTTTTTCTTGAACTCCTTGAACATGTGGTGTCTGGCGGGCTACGGTATTTTCACGAATTTAACAAAATTTTAATAAGAAATTTCCCCAAAGCCAACATACCCCAGAGACGAGTAGCTGCTCTCCGCTGTACGGGTTCTCGACGACGCAAGGCAACCCGAAATCGGTGTGGTGTGTGGAGAGGGAGGCCGGAAAAAGGGTTAATAAATGCGAAATTCTAATTGCTAAAGGCTGAACTGCTCGAACTTGATGCGGTAACAGGATTTTTTACGTTGAAGCCGTCGCTGCTCGTTTTTAAGGGACTCGGGCACCTCCGCTCCTTGGATGCGTCGCGCACACGCTGCGCCTCGCTTGTCATTTTTTGGTCTTTAGCAGCCGGAAGCGGCTGACTTGAAAGTAGAAGCCTCTAATAGACCTGCGAGGTCAAGTTTGAGCCGTACAACGTAAACCGATAAGTTCGCTACACTCCACTTACAGTAGATGGCGTCAATAGTGTCGCGACGGCTCTGAGACATCCCAGCACATTTGGCGGTAATTCCTTGCCGGCCATCAAATCGACGAGGATACCTCGAGCCTCAGTGATGTTCGAGATTGTCACCTTAAATAAAGGGTAACTTCTGGCATCTTGTAAAACGTATAGAATGTAACATCACAGGGTGTACCGAATAATTTACAACTAACCGGTGTGGTCTTGCTCAAGCTGAGGCTCGTGGCCGGCAAGGAAGTGCGGCGATTTCTCATTGCCTGAAAAATTACGAAATAAACAACTAAAAAAAATGCCCCACCTCGTGGAATGTCTTTTGCATCGCCGACTCGGACAGGGTCGCCCGGCCGGCTGAGAACGCGGGCGGGCACGCTGAAAATGGATGAATTCCAAGTTTATGGTGAATTTATTAAATCTAGCACTTTTAGGAAATCGGAATTTGAAGAGAACTTTATTGTAAAAGTCAGAATTTTCAGCTTGGAGCTTAACAAACGAGTTTTGGTGCGTTAGCGCGGGAGGGGGGAGTGTAACCACTTAGCCATACCGCCCTATAAGGAAATATAAGTAATTTTTGCGCATTTTACAGCGTTTTTAGTTATAAAAAGAAAAGAATAAAATTATAAAACTTTCTAAAATGTTTGACTTTTGCTCAATAAGGTATGAAAATGACCAAAAATAGCCAACATTTCAAAATTTCTTAATCGAATTATGATATTTTTTACGGTTTTCTAACAACCAAAAACTACGAAAAATACTCTAAATATACATTATGTCTTAATTAAAAAGTGGAACTTAAAAAAATAGGTAGAAAAAGGAAAATTAGCTCTCCCAGCCTAAAAGCCCCGACGCCCCCCGCTATTACACCAGAACCGCTTTAGAATAATTAGGGTTTAATAAAAACGGAGCTCAAGGCAACAAATACTCTACCGTAGCTCGAGAAAACCGTCCCAAAAATTGCTCGACCCTCCGCTTTAAAGGTACCGCGACACGCCACATAAATCTCTCAAAATCCATCCTACTAAACCAGTAAAAACTAGATACAAAATACATAAAGATAACGTCTTTCCAGGGGGGTTCAAGGCTACAGACGAACACCCCCCAAAATTCCGTCTATCCCTATATTCCGGGCAGCGTGAATTTTTGAGGAATTTCCAATTATCGGCGCCGTCTTGGCCCGGCCCATTGCCCGCGCGCATCTTTTAAGATGTGTGGATGCGTGGAAGGGCTAAAAACGGAAGAAGAGAGGCCGGAAGGGGAACGGAAAAGAAATACGCAAAAAGAATGGAAGATGTGGGCAATGTGCCGCGAAAAATATTCGCATATTTGAGACCGTGGAGGAGGGAATTGGAAGCGAAAAAACGGGGGTATAAAATACGGATCAACGGCAAGTGGCCGACGCGTCAGAAGTATCGTTTCGGACAAATCGCAATGTTTAAAGGGGCTGGGAAGCTGGGAGCTTTCGCGTTATCGGGGGGTTCGATCAACGTTGTTTTAAAGGACCCGATCTTTCTAAACATAGAATCGTGTTTTTAAACTATGTTTTTTGAATTATTAAATGCCAAAACTTCACAAAAAATGGATTAAAAAAATACAAAAATATAATTTTTCGATGAAAAGTGGCCGATTTGCGCCCAAAATCTCACAAGTTCTAAGCTTTTAGATAGTATTTCCGCTAGAAACATAGCGAAATTAGACTAAAATTGCTATTAAGACGGATCGAACCCTGGTCATGTGGGTGACCGGCTAACACACTACCAATTCACCAATCTTCAAAAAGCTTTGTGATGCGAAAAATCAAATTTTTTTTACTAAGCTACCTTTAAAAACCCGCAAAATCAGGTGGTAATCGAGAAAAATCAGCCCTGAGCATAAAGCAACAATGAGATAAAGCAACATTCAAGTGGCCGTCAAATTCACTACCATTTCACCACCCTTCAAAAAAATTTTTAGCTCAAAAAATTCATTTTTGATTATGTTACCTTTAAAAACCCCCAAAATCGAGTGGTCATCGAGAAAAGTCGAGAACCGTGGACAGGGACCCCGGAAAAATGCAAAAACCCCAGGATTACAGTTTTTTTTTGTGGCGGGGGCTAGGTTGCCGAGGTGAGCTCGGGCAATTTACGGCACAGAACATCGGACGAGCCCCCCGGGAAAGCGGCTTATTTGGGGAGGGAAGCGGAAAGAAGCGGAAAGAGGGGGAGGAGGAACAGACGAGGGGAGGACGAGGTATGTGCTGTCGCATGCAAATTAGCCCGGCGCCAGGAGAGTGAGTGACCAGCAACAAAAAGCCGCCGATGCCGCTCGAGCGATTTTCAGCGTGAACTTGTTCGGAGATTAGGGAGGAGAATCGGGACGATTTTTAGGTAAAAAAAAGAGAATGTTTGGGTTTAAAGGGCCAGGCAAGGCATGGCTATGGATTTTTCTGGGCTTGGATTCCCTATGGTTTTTGCCCGATAGGCAGCGCGGGTTTTCAAAGGTTTAAAGGCACTCACAAGTGCTAGAAACCTATGGGTTCCCCGCAAAATGGAAGTTTTTGTTGGGCAATTCGCTGAAATAAAATAAAATATAGGTGCAACGCTGCAAATTAATTTCTTTTTTTCGTTTTTACAATTTTTTAGCAGCCTACTGTAATCCACCAACTTTTTGCGTCTTTTTAATAATGCCAGAAATATTAATTAAAAATTTTGATTTTATTGACATTGATTATGGCGAAATTGCGTTTTGTCAAAATTTCGAAAACGATCATCGATAAAAATATTTTCGACCAAATCGAATGTCGACAAAATCAATTTTTATATTTTGATTTTTGGACAAAATTGCGATAATGTGCGTTAAAAGAAATATCAAATCGAAGTTTTCCAAAGGCTACGGTAACTTCCTAGTACTTTAAAAGTGCAGCTCCTCCGTAAAATGCGCCTCGTTAAAAGTGCCAAAATTTCCTTAATAGCTTGGAAATAATATGTGTCTGCCGGGTATGGTCTGCGCTTCATCCGAGCCCTCATCCGAACGGCCCCGACTTTTAATTATCGGCTAAAAGACAAAAAATGACTTTTAATTCTGTGGGGCTGGGTCGTGTGGCTGTGGGCGCGAAATGAAGATGAAGGGCCCTGGTCCGACTGCTGCCCAAATAGTGGCTACTGGGTCCCGCCCCGAAAACAAGGGCAGCGACGGGAATTGGGGGAATTTTGCCTGCGGATTTCTTTTTATGCTTTTGCATAATCCTAAGCCTAGCCTAAGCCCATGCCTAAGCCTAAGCCGCCCAAGCTAAGCCTAAGCTAAGCCTAAGCTAAACCAAGCTCTATACCGAAGCCTAACCCAAGCTGAACCTTAGAATACCGACAGTAAAAACTCGAAACACGGAAAAGAAAACTGAAAATGCCGACACTGAGAATATTTTCAAAAATGTCCGGATAGGAATAGAATTTACCCAATTTGCAGGCGTAAAAAGTTGCAATTTTTCTTTAAAAATGCAAAAAATAAATTTTTTGACCAAAGGGTTAACACTTATTTGTTTCTTTGAGAGTTTTATCACTTGAAATATGCTTGATTTTACTAAAAACAGTATGACCTTGCTAACAATTCCCCGACCTCAAAAAACCGACGCGATCCTCAAAAAAACCTTGAAAAATCTTTTCGATTTTCAAGGGCGGCACTTTTCGAAGTTTAATCCCTTTTCCCGACCATGAATTTTTCACATAAACCCATAAAAATATGGGGGGGAAGACGTCACGAGGTGTGTGTCGGAATGGGTGGAAGGGGGGTACGTTGGAATGAATGTGTATCACTTTGGCGAGAGGAGGGTCATCCCGGCCTTTCCGCAAATATACCACTCATAGAAAAAGGGGGATGCCCATCCCGGGGTGTTCCCCGAAAAAGTGTCCCGAGTGGAATGGAAGGATGCATAGGAATTAGTGGGGGGATGAGGGATTGGTTTCAAAAAAGGGCGGGCTGCAGAATTTTGCAGAGTCAGCTGTCGTCTGGCTTTAAAAATGAGCCTAAGCCAAGCCTAAGCCAAACCTAAGCCAAACCTAAGCCAAGCCTAAGCCAAGCCTACGCCAAGCCTAAGCCAATCTAATTCGGTTTTTACATTAAAAACTAAATACTAAACTATGCAACCCCAGCCGATTCTGTCGAATGAGTCATCTTCTTTCCTTGGCAATAACCAAACAATAACCAGAAGGACCCCTACCTGAATTCCGGCGATTATTCGGCGACGACTGTTGACGCCGCATGTCGGGGGGGCTGCTAAAAAATTTGTAGGGTTGGTAATAGAAGAATGGGAATATGGTAGGGAGAGAGAGAGATAGCAAGAGCGAGAGAGAGATAGCAAGAGCGAGAGAGGGAGGGAGAGAGAGAGAGAGAAGAGAGAGGGAGGGAGAAAGAGAGAGAGAATGATAGGGAAATAGCAAGAGCTAGAGAGAAAGAATGAGCGAGTGAGAGAGGGAGGGAGAAAGAGAGAGAATGAGAGGGAGATAGCAAGAGCGAGAGAGAGAGAGAGAGATAGAGAAAGAGAGAAATGCTCGGAAAAGATCCGGAAAAAATTGAAGCCTGGTTTTTGAGCAGAAGATCACGGTGCTTGAGCATGACATCTTGCTTCACCGTCCCTTTAAAACCCAGGAGATGAAAAATGCCAACCAGCAGAGAGTATTTGCGTGAAGAACTTGAAACTGGGGGAAGCTTCACAAGCAAGGCAAGAAAGCAGAGAACTTTCAGGAATCCATATGCACGGGTGCTGTCTTCACAGCTCCTTTAAATTCGTGGAAAGCGAGCAGAAATGATTTGGGAAATCCGGGGGCAAGCTAGCAATGGTCATTAAGGAAGTTCTGGATAGATTAGATTATAAAATTCAGATTTTTCCCTGAAAATGCCGAGAATGTAAAAACATGCTGCCCGATGCTAGCTCCGGGGGTTAGGTGCCACATTTGAGGCCCCCTCCCAACCCCGGAATGAGCCGCATTTCTGGAGGGACAGGGCCATGGGCCCCTTCAGTTTTTTCTCTTTTTTCCTTCAACCCCCAGGGCCTCGGGAGGAAGAGCACCGACCCGTGAAATGGGGTCTCCCCCTTATGCCCTAGCATTCCGGGCCCAGATTTCGCCGCAATTTTGCCCATCAACTACGCAGCGCTCCACGGAATTCCGGTGTTGGCCAGAGATCGAGGTCGGTAATTCCTGGCGGGACCGGTGAAAAAGATTGATAAACCGGTTTAAAAATTTGTGAAGTGCCGTTTTTGTGGAGAGTGTGAGGGAGAGAAGCGAGATACAGCTAAAGAGAGAGAAACATAGAGAGAGAAAGATAGACAGAGAGATGGTGTAGGAGAAAGAG